ATTAGAAACAATAAACAAGTGGTAAAGTTGCAGGATACAATATCAATTTATAAAAAAAACACTGCATTCCTATATACTAACAATGAAATTTCAGAAAAGGATATTTAAAAAGTCCCTTTTGCAATTACAACAAATAAAATACCTAGGAATAAACTTAACAAAGAATGAGGAGAACCTACACACTGAAAACTCAAAGCATCATTAAAAAGAATTAAAAAGACACAATAAAATGGAAAGATACTCTGTGTTCATGAATTGGAAAAATAAACATAGTCAAAATGTCCATATCACCCAGAGCAATATACAGAATTAATGCAATCCCTATCAAAATCCTAATGGCATTTTTTAAAGAAATAGAACAATAACAAAAAACTTACCACATTCATATGGAACCACAAAAGACCCTAAATAGCCAAAGCAATTCTGATAAAAAAAAACAGAGGTATCATACTCCCAGACTCCAAATTATACTACAAAGCCACAATAATCAAAACAGGTTGGTATTGGCAGTAAGAAGACATATAAAACAATGAAACAAAATTGAGATCCCAGAAAAATACCCACATACATATGGGCAAATAATTTTTGATAAAGAAGCAAAAATATACAATGAAGAAAAGAAAGATTCTTTAATGAATGATGCTGGGAAAATTAGAAAGCCTCATGCAAAAGATTGAAACTAGATACACTTTGCCCCCATTTACAAAAATTAATTATAAATGGATCAAAGGCCTAAATATAAGATCTGAAAAAATAAAGTACATAGAAAACATAGGTACTAAAAGCATGGGTCTTGCTTTTAAAGACTGTGTGACTTTGACTCCAAAGGCAAAAAGTAAAGTCAAAAATAAATTAATGGGACTATATCAGCAAAAAAGCTTCTGCACAGAAAAGGAACCCATCAACACAACAAAAAGGCAACCAACCTAATGGGAGAATATATTTGCAAACAACAGCTCTGACCAGAGGCTAATATCTAAAATATATAAAAAAGTCATACAACTACATGCAAAAAAAAACACTACCTAATTCAATTTAAAAATTGAGAGAGGACCTAAACAGACATTTCTCCCAAAACCACATACAAAGGGCCAATGGATATATGAAAAGATGCTCAACTGGACTAGCTACTAAATAAATGCAAATCAAAATTACAATGAGATACCACTTCACACCTATTAGAATTACCATGTCCCAAGACAGGTAGTAACAATTGTTGAAGAGGTTGTGGGGAAAAAGGAACCCTCATTCACTGCTGGTGGGAATGTAAACTGGTGCAACTACTATGGAAAATAGTATGCTGATTCCTCAAAACATTAAGGATAGAGTCACCATATGACCCAGCAACTCTATTCTGGGTACCTACTTGAAAATATTTATTCTTAAAGTGATATGCACCCCTATGTTCATTGCAGCATTATTCACAGTGGCCAAGACACGGAGACAACCAAAGTGTCCTTCAATAAATGATTGGATAAAGATGTGGTACATATATACAATTGAATACTATCAGCCATAAGAAAAGATGAAGTATTGCCATTTGCAACAACACTGATGGACCTTGAGCATACCATGCTACGTGAAATAAGCCAGAAAAACTTAAGAACCATATGATTTCACTCATATGTGGGATATAAAACAAGAAAAACAAACAAACAAAAAACTCCTACACATACCCAACAGTATGGTGATTACTAGAGGGAAGGGACATGGAGAGTATAGTAAAGGGTAAAGGGCTTAAAATATATGGTGACAAAAGATGATTTTACTTTGGGTAGTGGGCACACAGTGCAATATGAAGATCATGCATTGTAGAAATGTACACTTGAAACGTATGTAATCTTTTTAAAGTATTTTTTATTGATTATGCTATTACAGTTTTCCAAATTTTTCCCCCTTTATCCCCCCTCCACCCTGCCATCCCACAACCCTCCATCCTTAGTTCATGTCTATGGGTTGCACATATAAGTTCTTTGAGTCCTCTGTTTCCTGTATCATTTTTTTTTATTTTCCCATGTATTTTATGCCTACTAATTATGCTTCTTCTTCCCTGTACCTTTTCCTCCCTATTCCTCCCACTGAACTCCCTCTGTATAATGTCCATTTCTCTGATTCTGTTCCTGTTCTGGCTGTTTGCTTAGTTTTTGTTTTCATTTTCTTTTCTTTTAGGTTCATTTGTTGGTAGGTATGAGTTTGTTGTCATTTTATTGTTCATATTTTTTATCTTCTTTTTTGTTGGATAAGTCCCTTTAACATTTCATATAGTAAGGGCTTGGTGATGATGAACTCCTTTAACTTTACCTTATCTGGGAAGCACTTTATCTACCCTTCCATTCTAAATGATAGCTTTGTTGGATAGAGTAATCTTGGGTGTAGGTCCTTGCCTTTCATGGCTTCAAATACTTCTTTCCAGCCCCTTCTGCCTGTAAGATTTCTTTGAAGAAATCAGCTGATAGCCGTATGGGAACTCCTCTCTAGGAAATTGTCTCCTTTTCACTTGCTGCTCTTGGGATTTTCTCTTTGTTTTTAACTTGAGTAACGTAATGATGATGTGTCTTGGTGTGTTCCTCTTTAGTTACTACTTCTTTGGGATTCTCTGAGCTTCCTGGACTTCCTGGAAGTCTATTTCCTTCACCAGACTGGGGAACTTTTCCTTCATTATTTGTTCAAATAAGTTTTCAATTTCTTGCTGTTGCTCGTCTCCTTCTGGCACCCCTATAATTCAGATACTGGAACATTTCAGGTTGTCCCAGAGAGTCCTCAGCCTCTATTCATTTTTTTGGATTCTTGTTTCTTTGTTCTGATCCAGTTGGATGTTTATTTCTTCCTTTTGTTCCAAATCGTTGCTTTGAATCCTGGTTTCCTTCCTTCCACTGTTGGTTCCCTAAATATTTTGCTTTATTTCATTGTGGGTATCTTTCATTTGTTCTTTCATTTTTTCAACCAAGCTCAATCAGTTCTGTGAGCATTTTGATTACCAGGGCTTTAAATTCTCCATCAGTTAGGTTGCCAGTGTCCTCATCGCTTAGTTTTGAGGTTTTGCTGTGTTCTTTCATTTGGACCATATTTCTTTGTCTTGGCACAGCTGATAAGTTATAAGGGGCAGGGCCTTAGGTATTCACCTGGGCCAGGCAACCTTCTCTGCTGCACTGCCTGTAGGGGAGGGGCCAGAGAGGGAGCAATGCAGCTTGCCTGCTCCTCTCTAGCGCACTTTCCAACAGACTTTTGAGTCAGACTGGAAGTATCTGCAACCACAGCAACCCCAGTCAGCTCTGAGTCTCAGTTTCCCCCTTAAGTCAGTCCATCCTGAGCAGCTCCAGCCCTCAGCTCCCTCTCTGCTGTTTTTCTGAGTTGACCACCCTGCGCGATTCGCCTTAACTGGTCTGGTTGTTCTGGTTGATTTTTTCTTTAGTCCTTGGTTGTCAGAGTTCCATGCAGTTTGATTTTCTGGTGTTTCTGGTTGTTTATTGGTTTTAGATTGGTTGTCATCCTCCTTTTGGTTGTGAAAGGACGCGAGGGGTTTCTACCTACACCTCCATGTCGGCCGGAACTCTTCCAAAATTTATATAATCTTATTAATGAAAGTCACAGCAATAAATTTAATTAAAGAAAAAATAAAAACTGTGAAAAAACTTAATAGACCATAAAGGTATAGCCATAGAATTGTCTGGTTTTTTTTATTTTTTATTTTTTAAGTAACAAGAAAAAATTTAGATATTGTATGAGTCTTTTGATCTCATTTTACAGATAAACAAGAGGATTTGTGAGATTTAGCTACTTAATGAAACACTTAGGTAATAAATTCCACTTGATAAATTAGTTTAAAAATTTTTATGAAATATTTGACTGGCATATGTTTAGGTGAAGGGTGATTCTTATAAAAGTCAAGTCCAGGGCCTGTGTGAGTCAGAACAAAGACATTTAGTGGAGATCGTGGTGCTAGAATTTGTTCAGGATGTCTCTATCTGAATCAAAATCCATCCATATGGATATTAGAGACTATTTTTTATCTTCATACATTTCTTTTAATCACTTTTTATATGAGTGGCTTGTGACATCCTACAACCCAAGTTAATGAGGGCTCTGGACAAGTGGGAATGTGAGTTGCTCCTTCCTGGCTCTGAGTGAGGAGCAGTTTCCAATGTGTGGTTCAGTCTGGAAAGACTTTCATAAGATATTAGATGGGTGTCAGTAGTGAGCATATCTCTTTCCCAGTGAAGAGATTAGCCTCCTCTAAGGTACAGAGTTCACTTAGGATGACAGAGGCTGAGATATTCTGTGAGATGTGGCCATGGTTGGCCAGGCACCTCCCTACTACTCCCCGACACCTTCAGCTAATACTACCTCCCACCTCTGAACAACTACTGCTGCATTAAACAAGGACCCTCTGGGCCCAGTGTGATGTTCTAACCCACCTTCCACTTTCACGGTCTCCCTTTTTTCATGTATGCAAGGAAAGTAAACACCTTTATTACCTTCCCTCATTCAGTGCAAAAAGATAAGCCATGAATGTCTTATGAAACAAAATCTCAAGACAATTTATTTAATGTACTATGCTTACTTAATACAGCATAAACATGTTAATCATCCTCTATTCCCCTCCCTGATTGAATATCTGAAAACAGCACCATGCAAATGGACATGACACTGTACACACCTAGCACAGCTGTGACCATCTGCAGCATGGCCCATTGCTCAGCAGCAAAGTCGCCTTTTCTGACACGAGTCTGTGGAATTAGGAAGATAAGGATCTTCTTTTCCATGTCTCACAGAGGAACTCTCAATTTTACCTTCACACCCTCTCCTGCTTCCCTTCCTTTGCCTTTTTTCTGTCTGGACTCTAGATCATGTCTAAACACCTTTCCTTTTCATTCTCCCTATGTGACATTAAGTGTCATCTAAGTATTGAGATATTATAAAAAATATTTGATTTTTAGTATTTAGATACATTATATTTTAAAACATAATGGTGATTAAGATTTTCTCCTCTTTGTTTTCAGTCATAATAAATATTGAAACAAATAATAAATATGAAATTAAGAACAGCCTTGGACAGAGGATTTACTTTGCTGTGGAAGATACTGATTGCTGTACTCGAAATTGCTGTGCATGTTTTAGGCCTTCTACCATGAGAATTTTTGATCTTATGAGCCGAGAGGTCATAACTCTGGAGACACCACAAAGATGTACCAGCTGTTGTTGCCCATGCTGCCTTCAGGAGGTCTGTGAGCTATTACCTGAGTAATTTGTAAAGTAGCCCAACAAGAATTTTCACACTGTCATTGAACCTATATAATCAAATGAGATTTTCTAAAAATTGGTCCAGGAGCTGTTGTTTTATGCATGAGAGTATTTTGGACAGGAAGGATGGCAGGTGAAAAACAGTGACCAGTTAGCCCCATGTCCCTGAGAAGTTTGTCTTGTGGGATTGAGCATCTGCTCAGAGACCAGACTTCCTAATGCTTGAGGAGAGCTGAGAAGATGAGGCACCTTGGTCAAGTCCCTTACTGGGAGTGACCCCATAGAGGCCTGGCCAAAGCCAGAGGAGGGAAACACAGACAGTATCCTAGAATACAGTTCCAGGAGCAAGTGTGCAGAAGAATGAGGACAAGAACATATAGTCATCTCACAATTTTGGCCAACATATTATGGAACATACCTAGGAGAGACCGCCTCTAAGAAATCTCAAGTCCTGTGTTTTTAAGATAACCATTTTTAAAAACTAATGTATTTGAGCCTCTGTCACAGAGGTATGGGTACCTTCAGGTCTGGGAAGACCAGATGTCTGTTTCATATTACTTGTCATCCCACTGATTTACAATGTGGATTCAGGGGAGACACCAGGGCACAGAGAGTTTCTAGGCAAGTTGGCCTTTGCCTACATCCCCCTGGCCTGAGACCAGCCCTTGCCTGGCTAGTCATTCCAGACAAGTAGCTCTGAGTCCGTGACACAGACAGGGGCACAAGTACATAGACATTTGAAGTTTCATACTGCATTTACTTTAAACAGTTAACTGAAGCTATTCCTACTGAATTCTTTTGTTTTTTTATGTCATTTGGGTTAGTACTTGTCCATAGGAGTGTCTGAGGAAAACCAGAGTTTGAGGAAATATGCTCTGAATGTAAAGAGCACATTAGACTATTGATCTTAGAAAACAGTCTAGGAAGGCATCATTTACAAAAGACTGTACTGTACTCTCTAGGTCACCCAGCTAACAGCAAAGCCAAGATCCTCCTTATTTTCCTTATAGAACCATTGCCACTCATACTGGAAAATTGAACCAGTGATCAGAGCTCTGTTCACACATGTAAACAACTGTTTTCAATCAAGTATTTCAAGAATAGTATCTTATGCTTAGAAGTAGGCAAAGGAGCTGAATAGGCATTTTTCCAAGTAAGACATAAAAATAGACCACAGATATATGAAAACCTATTCCACATAACTAATTATTAAGTAAATTAAAATAAAAGCTACAATATGATATCACATTATACTTGTTAGGAATACTGTTATAAAAAAAGACATAATTTGGCAAGTGTGTGGAGAAAATGGAACCCTTGTACACTGTTGGTGGGAATATATATAAATTGTTACTGCCACTGTGGAAAAGAGCATGCAGGTTCATATGATACAGCAATCCCACCTCTGGATATGTATGCAAAGGAAATGTGACCAGGTCTTCAAAGAGATATCTACCTTCCCATATTCATTGAAGCATTATTCAAAATAATCAAAATATAGAAATAATCTAAGTGTCTGTTGATGGATGAGTGGATAAGAAAATGTAATATAAACATAAGTATGTACAATGGGATATTATTCAACCAAAGAAAAGAAGAAAACTATGCCATTGAGACAACATGGATGCATTTAGAGGGCATTACGCTAAGGGAAATAAGTCAGACAGGAGCAGGCAAGTGCTATATGGTATCACTCATATACCAAATATATAAAAAAAATCTAACTCATAGAAAAAGACATTTGAATAGAAATTGCCAAAGACTGGGAAAGGGAGAATGGGGAAAATATTGGTCAAATTGTACATGAATGAGTTCTGAGTATCAAATGTACAGCATAGTGACTATGCTATATATTTGAAGTTTGCTAAGAAAGATCTCAAGCATCGCTGTATGAGGTGACAGATGTGTTAACTAACTTGATGATTGTGGTAATCATTTCATAATGTATATGTCATCACGTTGTACACTTTAAATATATTATAATTATACTTGTCAATTATACATCAATAAAGCTAGAAAGGAAGAATATTGCCACTGCAATAAAAGTACTCATTAAGTGAGAGCTCATATTATTATTATTATGATAACAATAGTGATAAGGACAACAATGATGATTGTGTGTTACATATTCTTTTGCTTTTGTAGATAAAAATCTACTCTCCTCCTGGTACACTAATAGGTTATGTTATTCGGGCTAGGCACCCATATCTGCGTAAAGTTACAATTCAAGATGAAGATAAAAAGGATATGCTCAGAATTATTGGCCCATTTTGTGCATGCAGATATTTTAAAGAGGTTGTTTTTGAGGTAAGAGATGTAATCACTCTAATAGAATTTGATTTACAAATATAAGGAAAATATAATATGGTAACATGTTACAAATATATTAAATAAATATGTGTATCCTAATATCTCAAGAGGGAGACAGTGGATTCATATATGTAATGTTGATCAGAAAGGTAGTTATTAATCTCATTGAGCTTCAGTGTTGATTGTGATCATGGAAAAAAAGTGAAGCAGAGCCTTATAGTCAATAAATATAAGTAAAACAACTAGCATTTAAATGTGGTGATTTCTGTGTGGAAGTGCTATATATTATGCATTTTAAATACAACATTTACCTTGTCATCAATGTCTGACTGCCAAAGCCAGTGAATCATTCCTTAGTCTTAAACACAGGCTGTTTGTGGCCTCAGCCCTCTTCAGAAGGTCGGACATCTTTGAGTTCCTACAGGAAGCCCAATGAGGCAAAGAGAGTTTTCAGGAAGGTAGTGCAAACTGTGCCCCCCAGTTATGCTTCTCTATGGCCTCTGCTTTATCTTTGTATTAAATTTGATTATTAGAAACCAAAATATTTCTGTGTACTTACTGCATGGATCAATTTCATTACAGCAGTTTTCAAACAGATGTTCTGGCTGTAAACCCAAATTACTTAGTTGTAAATGTTTAAACATCAGGAGATTTTATAAGATAATCTTGATATTATGATTCTCTTTGAAAATTATAAAATCTGTTAAACTGAGCCCACATTTCCACAGAAAGGGCAAAAGTCTACAACTGAGCAGGGATACCACACTATAATAAGATGTGAGAATTCTGCCTTTTTCTCAACTTTCTCAGTTTCCCACTCTCCTCTTTATTTTTTAGTTGTATAATTTTCAATTCCCTAGTTGTATGATTTTAAATTCTTTTTCTCCCTGGTTATATAAAGATGAATCATTTCCTTCACATGATTAATAAATAAATGAAAGAGATGGATGATTATAAGAAAACATGCATAATGTAAAGAGCCTTTATAAAGTCTCTTTTAAAAGGACATGGATAATGTGTATGTTTGTGTGTGTGTGTGTGTGTGTAACAGGCATGTATAAGAACTTTATATAGGGTTATATATAACAATAGTTCCTCATGTAGGGTATGGCATACTTATCACAGATCCAGAAGAATGGAAAGATAATTGTTCATTCAGAGAACAATAATAACAGAAGTTTACCTGGCATGTATTATTTTGGAGGAATTGGTTAGAACATTAGGAAAGCATTGTGAAATTATTATATTTAATGCTAACAAATTTAAATTTTATCCAGCAAATTTTCACAATAGTATCCTTGGCGAATTCTTCATATGTAATAAACTAACTTCTCTCCTATGTACCCAGAATGGTGATAACTAGGTACCATCTTTCAGAGCTTTGAGAAATAGTCATTCAAATCAATTTGTGATGGCAATAGTGACACTTTAAATTTGGAATTTAGAGTATGAGAGACTGCTATGGAACATGGATTGTGCCATCATTGTGTCAGTAGTTATGGAAACTTGGAGTAGAAAAAAGATAAAAGCCCAAACACAGCGGGAGTCATTTTATAGGAAGAAATAACAGAAATTTCGTAAGTAGACTGAGTGGAGCTGTGTTATGAATATGATGTCCATTGAGAATGAAAGAAATCTAGAGATGAATCTGATGTCTGAGAATTTAAAAACTGAAATAATGCCTTTCACAAAGATGATAATCTTAAAGGAGAAATAGTTGATTTGTGGGAAGCTAGTGATTTGTATTTGAGTTATGTTGAATTTTACACATGTAGAGTAAAATACTGGGGACTCTTCAGCATACACATGGTAGTTGAGCCTGTGAGAAGATTGTCCCAAGTGTGAAACAAAGACAAGTAGACTTTCCTCTCTATCCCATGGAGATTATAAGGGCATGTGTCTTCTTCCAGGACTTTTGGTAGGGAAAAAATATGCATACATTAAACTGATATCCCAGGCCCCTCTATGAATATGATATCTGAATTGTCAAAATCACTATGGTATGTTTAGGAATCTCAAAACATAAAAATAGATGCTGAGTGGTGATACTGATAGCAGGATCAGATGCTAAAGTATTGCAGCACAGACCTGGTCAGGGGGGCGGTGAATGATATACTATTACTGAATTGACCCACCCTTATGTTCTGGGGATCCCCCACACTATACTAGGTTTGCCTTGCCTGCCACCAGGAAAAGATATCTCTCGATGCCAGAGATTTGGTGAAAAGGAAAAGGATTACTTATTTAAAGAGTTATACAAACTTAAGAGTAATGACTTAATGTCTTCATTGAGATCCCAAAGTCCTTTAGAATACCTACAAATGCACAGTTCCTCCCCCCTCTTCCCAGTCTGGGGCACTGTATCTCAGAAAAAGAAATAGAAGTCTGTGGTTCTTCTCTGCCCAAGCCGCATGGTCCCAAAAAGACCCCATATGGCTGCTGTGCCTGGGTTTAAATCCCAGCGCCAATCTTCCTCTGCTGCACCATTTCCAACTCCTCCAACAATTGGCCACAGCTGCCAGCATTTCCATATTTCCAGTTTTACTGGGCTGCCATAGTAAGTCCAGGCAGGTGTGGCCCTGTGATGTGGAGCCAATCATCTCCAAGCTCTTATGCAGGCTCTGTAACCAGGGGGAGTTGCTTCCCAGTTACATCATGGGTTGAAGTCACTCTCATCCCCCTAGCTCAAAGCATGGCCACAGCTGTTTAACATATCTATGAAACCAGTTAAAAGTTATAGAGATGTTAAATGACTGTTCTAGCAATGGCCCTGCTTCATGCATCCCATTCTCCACCTCAGACTTGTGGAATGAATACATCCTATATATTTTTCTAATATTTCCTGGACACCGAGTTCTAGACCCCAGTATAAATCCCTACTGTCCCCTGCCTTGGCTGCACCCTGTTACAAAAGCACACTAGAAGGAGATTAATCACCAAGGGCACCCTCTATTTCTACAGGAAAAAAAACCCCTATCTTTACATGAGCATATTCAAAAGTTACATAACTGAACTTCTGGCGAAGTTGGAGGCATAGGTAGATACACTTTGCCTCCTCACACAACCGAAGAATGACAACAACAAATTTAAAAGCAAAAAATAATAACCAAACTGCCAGAAAATTGAACTGTATGGAAGTCCACAACAACCAAGGAGTTAAAAAACATTCATTCAGACTTGTAGGAGAGACAGAGATGGGCAGCCAGGGCTGAGAGGACACTCAGCAAGGCAGTGGCTGGAGGACCAGGTGGGTAAGGCAATAGCTGGTGGGTGGGGCAGTCCCACATTTGCATGAGGATAAACTAGGAGGAACCACTGGAGAGCAAGAGTTTCTGGTGAAACTCAGAATTCCAGCGCAGGGAAATAAAGCCTCAAAACCCCTGGTGGTAAAAACCTGTGGGTGTTGCAGCAGCAGGAGAAAATCCCAACCTCACAGGCGAGTTCACTGGAGACATGCACAGGGTCCTAGAATGTACACAAAAGCATCCACCCAGGAATCAGCACCAGAAGGGCCCAATTTGCTTGTGAGTAGTGTGGGAAGTGACTAAAGGCCGGTGGAGAGCTGAGCAAACGGCATTGTTTCCTCTCCGACCCCTCCCACACATACAGCACCAAAACACAACAACATGGGTTGCCCCTCCCTAGCAAATACCTAAGGGTCTGACCCTTATAAGGTAAAAGGTGTGCTGAGACAAAAAAAAAAAATATATGACTCAAATGAAAGAACAGATGAAAGCTCCAAAAATAAAACTAAGCAATGAAGAGGTAGCCAGGCTATCAGATGCAGAGTTCAAAACACTGGTAATCAAAACAAAACAAAACAAAACAAAATAACAACAACAACAACAACACTGGTAATCAGGATGCTCACAGAAATGGTTGAGTATGGTCTCAAAATAGAGGAAGAAGTGAAGGCCATGCAAAATGAAATGAAGAGAAATGCATAGGGAATCAACAGTGAAGGAAAGAAAACCAGGACTGAAATCTATGATTTGGAGCAGAAGGAAGAAATAAACATTCAACCAGAACAGAATGAAGAAACAAGAATTTTAAAAAATGAGGAGAGGCTGAGGAACCTCTGGGACAACTTTAAATGTCCCAACATCCAAATCAAAGGGGTGTCAGAAGGAGAAGTGGAAGAACAAGAAATTGAAAAGTTATTTGAAAACATAACAAAAGAAAACTTCCCCAAGCTGGCAAAGGAAGTAGACTTCCAGAAAATCCAGGGAGCTCAAAGAGTTCCAAAAAATTTGGTCTCAAGAAAGCATACACCAAGGCACATAATTAAATTACCCAAGATTAAAGAGAAGGAGAGAATCTCAAAAGCAGCAAAAGAAAAGGAGACAGTTACCTACAAAGGAGTACCCATAAGGCTATTAGCTGATTTCTCAAAAGAAACCTTGCAGGCAAGAAGTGGCTGGGAAGAAGTATTTAAAGTCATGAAAGACAAGGACTTACATCCAAGATTACTCTATCCAGCAAAGCCATCATTTAGAATGGAAGGGGAGATAAAGTGCTTCCCAGATAAGGTCAAGCTAAAGGAGTTCATCATCACCAAGTCCTTATCATATGAAATGTTGAAGAGACCTATCTAAGAAAAAGAAGATTATCAAAACTATGAACAGTAAAATGATAATAAACTCATAAGTCTCAACAAGTGAACCTAAAAAAACCCCAAACAAACAAACTAAGTAAACAACTAGAACAGGAGCAGAATCACAGAAATGCAGATCACATGGAAGGTTACCAGCAGCGGGCAATATGGGTGGCGGGGGCGGGGGGAGAATGGGGGAAGAGGTACAGGGAATAAGAAATATAAATGGTAGGTACAAAATAGACAGGGTAAGGTTAAGAATATTATAGAAAATGGAGAAGCCAAAGAACTTTTATGTAGGTCCCATGGACATGAACTAAGGGGTGGGGGATTGCTGGTGGGTAGGGAGTGCAGTTCAGAGGAAAATAAAGGGGATAAAATGGAATAACTACATTAGCATAAT